TTTTTTTTTTTTTTTTTTTGCAGTTTTTGGCTGGGGCTGGGTTTGAACCCACCACCTCCGGCATATGGGGCCGGTGCCCTACTCCTTTGAGCCACGGGTGCCGCCCTGTTTTAGTTTGTTTTTAAGTTGTTTGTTTGTTTGTTTGGGTTTTGTTTTAGTTTGTTTTTTAAGTTGTTTCTTTGGCTTTTGCTTTAGTTTTTTTTTTTTAAGTTGTTTGTTTGTTTGTTTGAGTTTTGCTTTAGTTTGTTTTTTAAAATGTTGGTCTGCTTTGGCATGTCTTAATGCATATTCACTGAAGCCTGCTGTTAAGTGGAATGTAACCACAGTGGGTTTTAAAGCCACTACTCATGATAAATCCTGTATCTTTAAGGGTTAGGACTACTCACCCCGTGCTCAGTTATTTTTGCTTTGCTCTGTGTGCTCATCTACACAATGTGCAACTCACACTCTCACTTGCCAGGAAAGCGTTAGGTAAAAACAGTTCAAACTCAGGGCAGGCTTTACAGAAACTTCTACAGAACCGTTTTTCACCTTAGAGTGTGCAGATCTATTCCTGGGGATAGGAAATGTTTTAATGGCAATTTAAACATTTTGTGTTCTCATTTTACTGTAATCTTTGAAGCATGCAATGATCTCAATGACTACTTTTAATTATTTCATGTATTGATATTTAGTTGGCATTTCTAAAAGACACAAACTTCTTTTCATAAGTCATAACCACAATACCATTATCCACATCAAAAATACTTAAGAAGAATCATTTAACGTCAAGGACTACTTTTAAGAATCTTTTCATTGGAGAAATTTTAAATGTATGTAAAAGTAGAGAGGACATAAACAGCAGTATGAAATAACTTCTGTGTGCTCATTACTTCAACAATTCACCACATGGCCAATCTTGTCCCATCTATACTCCTCAACTATTTTGAGGCAAATCTAGATACCACATAATTTCACCTGTAAATATTTCAGTAAAAGACAAGAAGACTTGGAAAACACAACCACAATACTGTTACCATATCTAAAATGTTAGTAATAATTTTTAACACTATTATGTGTTTCATGTGTACATTACACTTTCTCAATTATCATTTGAAAAAATGTCTTTAAATTTATGCATGTGAATTAGAATTCAACCACATCCATACATTGTGATTGCTAGATGTGTCTCTGACGTCTACTTTGACCTACAGACTTCTCTGCTACCCCTTTTTTCTTCTTGCAATTTGTTATTTTTGTTTTAAAAAATGGGCTTATTTTCACCACTCTCCTCCCTGTGGATTCAGCTGATTGCATCTCCTGCATATCATTTGGGATATGTTCCTCCATTCCCAATATTTCCTGTAATTTGGTAGTTAGATCTGGAGGCTCAATGATTATGCCTTAACTGACTCTTTTTGAGTTAAGAAAAGGTATCTACATCAAAATTGACATGAAGACTGGATATTAATGTTGTGGATAAGAAAATGACCTCTTTACATATAGCATAAACATAATTTTCTATTGTACTTGTATGGTTTAAACCAGTTTATTGAAGAATAGATAATTGCTACAGTTATCTGATGCTATATAGTAAACATTTAACATATTATGAGAAATGTAGTAGGTTTCTTGGGAGATTGAAGAGAGAAACATAGTACAATTTGTGCTTCTAAGAAACTTACTGTCTTTTGGGGGAGGTTCCAATTAACAGGCAGACAAAACAATGGGACATCATGATTGCATGTAATAAGTGCTAAGCAGTAAGATAAAGGATACTTGACTTTCCAAGAAAAGTGGTATTTCTAAAGGTTTCAGGAGCCAGACAAGGCTACAGAGAAAAAATGGGTGAGATTTGCCTTGGTTGTGTTGGGGCATGAAGACATTGAGAAGGCATCCAAGTTGGGAGGACAAAAAGAAGGAAAGTAGAAACTGGCTTGATGTGTTTGGGAAAATACTGGGGAGGGCATGGTGACAAGCATGTTGAGTAGAAGGAGATATGACGAAATTGTGAAGTGAGTGGTCAGATTGTAGAGAACTTGAGTTAGAATAAAGAGATGAGTGGGGATGTAGTGGGCTTGCAAGGTCACCAGAAAAGATATATTCAAGTAATGTTTTAGGACTATCAGTACGGCACTGTTGGCAGGCTGAATTTGTTTGTGGGTGAGACCAAAAGCAAGGAGATGAGTTATTGTCTATGGTAGGAAACCATGAGTAAAGTGATAAAAGTCTGGATCAAGTAGGTAGTTATAAAAAAATGGGGAGGTAAGAGTGGATCTTAAAGGCATCCTAAGGAAGGAATAATCAGAAAATAGTGATAGATTAGATACAAAGTTGATAAGATAGGAGTAAAATAACACGCTCATGCGTCCAGCCCAGAAGATGGATATGGTGACTTCATTAACTAAGGCAAATAAATGGAGGCAGGGAAATTGATTTTCATGGAGAAAATGAGTTTACTTTTGAGTAGCTTGTGTTTGAGTTGATGCAAAGGACATATCTTCTGGCAACAAGAATCACAGAATAAGAATTAAGAAGTCACAGCAGAAAACGTAGATTTAAAGACCTTTCATACACAGGTACAAGCTGGAGTCATCAGAACAGAGAACACGCATACAAACAAGTGTGCAAAGAAGACCAGTTCCTGGCCTACTGTGTGTACAGAGTAAATGTTCAGGAGTGAGAGAATGAATGATGAGACAAGTAAGGGAGGACAGTGTTTCCAGATATCTATAGTTACAAAAGTGGAAGAAAGGCTGGCAAAGGAAACCAGGGGGTGAACAGAGGTGGGGGAGCTCAAAAATCACACAACATCCCAGGATACTTCAAATTAAAAAAGCTTCTGAGACAAATGCAGTCATCAACAGTGCAAGATATTGCTAAGAGGCCAAATAGAATGAGAATTAGCCAAAGGTTCTGTCTGAATGATGTAGGGATCCTGAACAGAGCCTTTCTGCAGGGGATGAGTTGGGCTGCACTTGTGAGGAATCCAGAAGCTGCATTAGGAGGGTGAAGTGGAGAATGTGGAAAAGGGAGTGAAAGAAAGTAAGTCATACCGTGGGAATCTGGCAGAGTAACGAAGGAATGGCGTGGTATTCATCAAGATATCAGGATGGAGTCACAAAGTTTCTTTTAGGGAGGGAAGACGTGTGTGTATATATATGTGAAGTTTAAAAATGAGCTGGAAGACAAAAGACTAAAGACAACAGAGGTGATTTAAAAAAACAAATAAAACTCAGTGTACCAGTAAAGGAGAAATATTCAGAAAGATCCACGTCATATTCCAGCCATGCCAGGCTGTCCACTATTCCCAGATCAAACCATGTGTATCATAACCTCGTGCCTTCGGATGTGAATACCCTTTTGCCTAATATCTGGTTGCTAAAATCTTTCCGTTATTCAAGATGTAGCCCAAGTGTCGCCATCCTAGTGATAATCCACCCTAGTCAGGTAAAACAGAATTGGTCTCTCCTTCCTACACACTCATAGCTTATTAAATGTTTCTCATTTAGAAATGATGATTGTTAACTGCATGTATGATTGTTAACTGCACTCGAATAGGTCTTTTCCATCGTACTTTAATGTACCACACATAGTTGGTACTAAATAATGTTTAGTGAGTGGAAGCGGACTCTTTCTTCTTAAAGATTTAAAGGGAGGATAAGGACAGAATGGTGGCAGAGTGCTCAGGGGAGGTGAAGGTAAAGATATCGGGCAGATTCTTCTGGTTAGCTTGAATATTCTCCCGAAGAGGTGACTTTCATGCCCAGAGGGACTGATATGATGGAAGATCACATTTGGAATAGGTGCAGCGCTAGTCAAAGAGGTGGGTAAAAGGAGGGAAAGGTCTTATAAGGATTAGATGTGATGAATTTGCAAATAGGCCAGATTTTGTAGCAAGTTTTCTTTCACTAGGAGTTCACATTTGGAAGGACAGAGAAAGCATAAAGATCCAGCATTGTTGACTGGAGCAAGCAGCGTCACATAATCACTAATGAACATTTAACATGGAAAGGTGGTCACTGCAGAACGACCTCACAAACAAGGCTGGGATGCCAAGCTGGGAGCCTGGCTAAGGAGAGAACACAACCTGTCAGGCAACACTCTCTACTTGGCTGCCGGGACAATCACCAGGGATGATCTTAAAAGAATCCTGAAACCGAGGCCCCACCCACAGGGACTGTGATTTATCCTAATTGGTCTGAGGATGAGACCTGGGGCATCTGCATGTTTTGAAGTGCTCCAGTTTGAGAACCCTGCAGTAAAGAGATACAGGTCTGAGCAGAGCAGAAGGAGGGTAAGTGGTGGAAGGGTCTAGTGAGGATAGAGCACAAGATGAAATAAAAATGCTATTTATGGTCTCCGGCCTGAAAATTCCCAGGAAAAAGACGAGTCTGACTTAACATAAAAGAAAGTATCTATGTTTTAAGGTCCAAATGTGATCTCAGCTACTTTCCACTGGAGAGACGTCACCGTTCCCTGACAGTCATAATTGGCACTGTGGTAGGCAGATGGCTGAACGGGGAAGGAAAACTTACAAAGCTTTCTTCTAGTCTTTATTTCAAAAAGATTCCCATCTGTGATCAGGCTTAGCGGGGTCTTTCTGAGACCCAGTGAGGCCGAGGACAAGTGCAGAAGGAACACAGGGTACCCAGGAAATCCCATCACGTGCCAGACCCAAGGTCAGCCATCCCAGTGAATCCCAAGAGACGTCCTGGAGGAGGGCTCAGACCAGCTCTCTGA